ATACCGATGGAAGTCAGATCACGGCTGTTGCATGCGATTCGACAGACAGTGTTTTCTCTTTCCGTTTACGCTGAAATGAAGATCAATCTTCTCATATGACAGGTGTCTCAAGGTTTTGCCCTTGCAGAAAACTAGGCAAAAAACCGCAAATCACTTTTGAAATATCGTCTAAATTCCTCAGAGGTGTCTGAGGTATTGGGTGTAGAGAGAGAGGAGTTACAATCAAAAGAGGACGTTCAAACCAAACCAAACTTGGCCGTTTAAACACGGCGTTAGTTGAATGTTTTTCATATCCTTTTTAACGAATGTTTATGAAAAAAGCTTAGTTTCACCTCTGATCGGTCAGTGATCTTGGCAATAATATGGAGCTCTATGGTGCGTGCATTTAATGATATTGATGAAAAGATGGAGTACTGATGTAACGGTTGGAGTACTGTCCTCTCATCAATGTACTGTGAAGGGGAATATATAACGCAAAGTTATTTTTTCCACAAAACGCTGAACTGTAGCTTATCATGATAAAGGGTATTACTAAATGGTGCAGAAACAGTTGAACGGTTTAAAACAGTGTCAGTTTTGACAGTCAATGAAAATTGCCTAAATAACCATGTCATTGAATAAAAAATGATCCTGTTTTCTCTTTCGGATGCAGATATTCTCAGCAAATGTGAAGATTATGAAAAGGAGGCTGACTTTGATAGACGTCTTGATCGGTGGCCGGATGAACTGCTGAAGTTCGCTGGATCAAGATGGATAGAAATGGCAGAAAACAGAAATCTAAGGCAAGGGTTTGAAGGGGCCTTCGTCCAGCAGTGGATCGGCAAAAGCTGACGATGACTGCGCTGCAAACTTTGTATGAAAAGCCTCATTCATCTACACAGCGCTGAGGAAACGTTACAGTTCTTTAAACAATGACTATAATTTACGTCGTTAGTTGAACATCAATTTGCCCACACAATCTGACTCGTTACTCTTTTGCACCTTAGCTCGTTTTGGCGTGTTGACAGTCACGTTAAAAAACTGCATATACCCTGTTCGTCATTCGTTCATCGATGATTTAGATTCCGTTTTCGGGCATCTGAAGCATCCAAGACGCACAGTGCCTCATATTCTTATCCAGCAGGTTCAAGCGTACCACGAGACAATCTCTTTCTATTTAATAATATATTGATATATTTAATTCAATAGCGTATAAGTGAATAATTTTGGAATATGCCTTAACTATGCCGAATGAAATAATACTTGGAGGGCTTCGAAAGTAGTGTTCCGTCGTAAACATGAACTGAAAAAATATCCTGCCGCCTTTGTCACCTGAGCTTGGCTGATTAGCAGTCGTATATGTTGGAGACGTTGCCGTAATCCCTAACGATGCCACATTTTTTGTACTCGGTGGCGTTATCGTTCCGTTCGATCTGTTCCTGAAGTTTCGCCAGCGTTTCCTGCTTTTGAGCCCACTGACGTAGGTAGCCTTGGATGCATTTCTCGTAAAGTGATATGCTGTTTTCGAAGGCGATCACCTGCTGTTGTAAAGAAGCTTCGGTCATATTCTAAAAATAACAGACAAGGGTCAGATTCTAAGCAATCAATCATCATAAAAATCAGACAATTTAATTTAGCTTAATTAAGCTGACAACTGTGGTTTGATCTTACTGAGTGGTATATACTGTAGCACGTAGGCTACCCTGGTGGTTGGTACCTTACTCAGTAATACTGCGTTGTCTTCATGCACTGTCGGTGTTCAAACACGATGGAGTTATGGCCTCTTTAAATGGTCCCCCTAGATTTCTAGAAGAAAAGGGGTGGTGTAACATAGACGTTGAACCGGGTGTGACGACATGCAGGTTCGATGTAAACCGTAATTTAAACGAAAATTTTTTGACGCTTACCGTAGAGGGACTTGCATTCTGCAGTGATTTTCTTAACCTCAGCAGTTTCTCTTCTTTCCTTTTGACCACCTTTGTCATCGCTGCCGTGCTTTCTTGAATTTTGGCGATTTTCATGTGTTTCATCGATACCTGAATTGGCGCAAAATATTTCGCTTTAGAATCTCTCAAATAAGAACGTTTCAAGCAGACAAATATGAGGCATCCTCTGTTCAGGAGATGACGATAAGAAGATATGAATTAAAGTTGGTACAAGATTATATTTCGGATGTCCAGTTCCTGTGCAACCAAGTGGAGGAAGAATTTATTTGCCTTTCATACGGGGTCATTTTCTGTTTGAAGGAAAGATAGAACCATTTCCATTTAACTAAGTTTTGCTTTGAGTTTAATAAGGACGACAAATCTCAGTCGTTCTTGCCAAGTCGTGGCACAAACGTTCTTCGTCTGGACTAAATGGCCGTCAAAGACGAAAGAGCTGCATCAGCTCTGGATACCACTGCGCGTCATATGACAAATGTGGCACAGTGTCACAGTTACAGTGGTAGAACCGTTGGATTCAAGAACCAGGAAGAGACATTGTTTGTCTTATTGGCGTGACGAATTTACCCTATGTGGTCGCTGTGCAATCAGCCGAGAAATGGCCAGCAAGGCGTTGACTTAGACGCAGCAACGATAGCATGCAGCTCTGGTGTGGTTTTCGTAATTAACTGTGAAGTTCACAAGGGAAACGTTTCTTCGCCATTGCTGTTCGAAACTGTTCTCCACTGCTGACCCTGGCAAAGATGAGAGTCTCATTCTGGAGTGAAGGAACAGTTCAAGATATCCGGCTAGACATGCTCATGCTAAATAGTACGGGGATCAGAGTTTGCGTCCTGACGGCTTCTGGTTTGCAACACATCTGTGAAAATCGTCTCTACCGTAATGCTTGGAAGTTTAAGCTCATGAGAAATTCATTGAATACATCTGATCTACTAGTAGAACAAAGAGAGAAGCTATCGAGGAAGTGGACCAGTTTGAGCATCTCTGAACAGTCGTCTCCAACCATGGCACCATCCTATCCTATATGAAATAGAAGGATCGCCCTCGTATGCATTCCTTTTGGTGACGTGTCAAATATTTCGACTAAGAGAGGGGTAGTCTTTTCCAGACACTCCGCCACACTCTTCCTCAGTCAGGTCAGCGTTGCTGCACGTCGTGGAGACAAGTGCATTAATGAAGGACAAGAATGATTAGGCGGTTGACCTACATGCAGCGGCGTTGGCTTCAACGCATGACGACGGCTAATCGGCAGGGTCAAGTAACACATGACTCCGTTCTCTTTCAGGCAGAGGTGACCAAAATAGATCTGGGGATTAAGAAACTGAGGCTAGTCCTCTTAGACAGACTGATTGAACAAAACCAATTACTCAAGCCCGCGAGCATCTCATATCAGAGCCGAAACACAACAGACTTTGATCGGGAGGCCAGCATGCATCTTAGAGTAATATGAGGGAGGCATATCTGCTTACGGAATGGAATGTTCCTGTCTACGATTCAGTAACCGGTGCCTTATAGGAAAAGGGTTGAAAAGCCGCGCATGCATCAGCCGTCACAGAACAGAGAGGCTCTGCTTATGTAGATTGCTCAAGGTGATGATGGTACAAGCACCGGCATACGTGTGTTGTCATAGAAAAGTGGGCAGTAAGTACAGCCACTGTGCCCGATGCGAGCGCCTCTTG